GCCACTGTTATCTCGCGGCCCTCGACGACGGTCAACCGTGAAAAATGACTATCGCGACGAAGAAATATTTTACGGGCGGCGCGTTCGAGCGGCGTCGTTACGCGCCGTGAGCACACACCGTGTGCAACTAAAGGAAAAATAAAGGAAAAGAAGGAGGAAAATAAAAGAGAGAGATGGAGAGACGAGAATCGAACGGAGAAAAGAGAAGAGAAGGAATGCGCGAGAGAGGTTCGGCGACGGAAATCGTCTAGAAAAGGAAAGGAGAATTGCGGGTATGAGAGGAATCATAACGGCGACACTATCGGCTGGTATTTTATTGGATTTTAGAGATACGAATTTTTTCTTGTTTTCGACGGATTTTGAAATTAAATTTAAATTTCGAATTAAATACTTGCTTATATTGTTGATTGTGTATAATATATTATTATTATAATATAGAGATTCGAGAAATCTTATCCTCGTAAAAAATTTAAAAAATTGATGAAAAATTAATGACATTGGTTCCTAAATCTCAAATATTTCCTTAAAACATCCACGGTCTAATCACGATAATCAACCTTTTAAAATCAATTCTTATTTTCTACACATCCGTTCCTATCGTTTCGCTATCCTAAAAAAAGAACTATTTCGATATCGATTGATATTGATATCTCCCCAAACTCTACACGTGGCCGTTTGTTTGGCCAGACAGAACGCATAGGTAGCATCGTGATCGACCTCGAACGTGCCAAGATCCTCGTCTCTGGTACGATTCGAGTAGCATTCGAGAGGTATAAAGCATCGTGGATCGAATGGAACGAGAGCCGCCTCTCCCCTGATCGATCTCCGCCGCGACTAGTACGCGGAACTGAATCCGGATCGGATGAACGAGGGAACCGGGCAACTTTATGCGCCTGCTCTGTTTCTCTTCCTTCCGTGGGAAGCGATCTCTCTCTCTGCCACCGCCTTCGTTGCCTCGCTCTTCTTTCTCGCTCCCTCCTCCCTCCCTCTCACTCTCTCGTGTTACTTCCGCGCCTGGAATCCCACGCTTACGCCGCTACGAACGTCAGAGGCGTAAATCCGAGAGAGCTTCCTGGGCTGCGAAGCGTCGCGGCGTCGTTAATGATAGCTCCGAGCCGCGCTCTGCCTTTCTGCCTCGCGCTCTCTCCCTCCCCCTTACCGTGCTTCGCTATTTCCTCTCTCTCCGGCTCTGTGGCCCCGTCGCCGCCTGAGAACGCGTTTCGAGACCCAAAGCCTCGGGAAAACGCGCGTTCGTTCGCTCGTTTACTTCTACTGGCGGCCGTGAGTCGATGTCGTATGGCAGACGAAACTTTTGGGTTTAAGAAGAGTTTATATGTAGATCGTTTTAACGTCTTCACGTTCGTGAATTTTTGAATTAAATTGAATTATCAACGATGATGTTTTTTGTCGATGAAATATCTGTATATATTTTACTTCGCAGAAGTTACTTATATGTTTCATGTTTTTTTCTATTATTTTTAATCTCGAATTAAGGATTATATTTGATTTTTCCGCGAATGGTGGCACTAGAATATAGAAAAGAATATGTTCTATCCTGAATATCTTTTTAGTGAAACGTATCCGCTGTTTTCCTTACATACATCTTTTTTTACAACTTTTTTTTCATGTTTACTTAATTAATTTATTGCCTTATGACTTTTCCAAATCGCATACGTCATAGTTATCTATTTACAACTTTAATTATACACAATTTAAATATGTAGATTTGTAATCTCGAAATAAGATCTGAACTGAAGAAATTACAAGTTTTTTTATATGAACTTTTATATAAACGATGCAAAAATCTTGAAGCGCGAAATATAATATGTTAATAATTCCAATTATTTCGTAATCAAACGATCCAACGACATCGAAGCTCGGACTCGGTGATCATCTCCTTTTTTTACGTCATATAAATCATGTTTTCAAGTATTCTACTGAAATCGAGATACAATCGCCACGTATACTTAGATATGACTATTCACTAAATAACGTTATTATAATTTTTCGATTTTTAATCTCAAACTTTAATATTTAACCATATTATTAAAAATCTTTTTCAAAAGATTATCCTTCCACGAAAAAATAAATTTTAATTTTTTTTAAATTTTTGTCGACTCGAAGATTTGCAATTCAATAATTTTAAATTATCAAAATAAATTCATTTCTTCAAAATGAATTCGTTTTAAAAAATTCCAGAACTCACGCAGAGAGATGCCTGTGCAACTATCCACAGAAGGACGATCGAGAGTTCTCGATAATACAACGAACGCCGACTCGAAGAAAGCCTCGAGAATCGATTCCAATCTGGGTGATATCCAACGTCGGACGTTCTCTCGCGCGCGATCCTCTTGTCGGAAGATCGATCCACGGAAAAGGGGATTACCATACGCCGCTCCGTCGGACAACTTATTATCGGTTATTTATCACGACGGCCCGTGACTGAAATTTTTTCGCGGAGAGTGAGTATCTCTCTTCAAGACTCGCAGAGATCGTTCGCGTTCCACTTGCGAGATGGGAGCCGAGCGAGGAAGAAGAGGGCCGCGGCGATCTCGCGCGTGAGAAATGGACGAGCCATTAAAGCTGGCCGAGATCGAAGGCCGCGGCGAGTTACGTCGGGAATTGCCACGAGAGTGGATCGAGAGAGATCTGGGACACTAGTCGGACGACAAAAATGAAAATGGAGCTCAGAATTTTTGATCTTCGAAGAATATTTTAGGATGGACGAGATTTTATGATGGAAATAGATCTTTAATTATTATAATCCATAAAAAAATCACAGAAAAATTTAAATTCAATAATGTTTAAAAATAACCTAAATGTTCTACTTCTATTCCATCGATCATCTTCTAAACAATCGCAATTCATCGATAAACTTTCCGACCTCGCCTCCCTCCATTGCTATTCGCCTCAAACTTCAACTTTCAATATCCTGTCGTCCGTTTATATCTCTATAACGGAGGAATCCGTCCACGGATTCTAGAGTCGTAGAATGTAATCACTTCGTGACGAAACTTCGCGGAAACGACGTTACGTGAAGAGAGACCAGCGAACGACAACGAGAAAATCTTAACCGTTCAAGTATCAACTAATACTGTTCACATTCTATACTTCACATTCACATTTTAAAAACTATCACTAAATCGACCCAAAAAATATAATCACGAGAGAATTGACGAATCATTCACATTCACATATAATATAATGCGGTTGAGAGTTACGTAAAAGTTCATGTAGATTACGTATGAAAAAACAAGAAGATAATATAAATCAATAATCACGAATATTAATTACCAATATCTTAACCGTAAGACTAAAATCGAATTGAAAATGTCTCGAAGAGCATATCACAGTTAAAAACTATCTTTCCAAGTATCGTCCTATAAATAGAGAAACATCTTGATCGGACTTCTCGATACTTTTCGATCAGATTTCTGCAAAGAGCCGTAGGCGTTGAAACGGTTAAAAGGAAGCATCGAGGCAACCGGATCGAAGCGCCGTTGCTCGAGGCTTTGTTCACGTTGGACGAACAGCGGACACGCCATTGGCCACCAGCACTGCCTATACGGTCCGTGTAATTAGATGTAATTAAGCAGCCACCTTATCCGACTGACTTCTCTTCCCTTTTTCTACCTCCATCTTTCCCGTCTCACTCTTTTTCTTTCGCCTCATCCCGCCTCGTTGTATAACACTAAACTCGCGATTCATTTTCCCGACAGCCGTACCCGAGATTTCTCGCGGTTTTTCCACTTACTAGATAAATTCTCGACCCGTAACCCCATTGGACCGCCGCGCGAATTCACCGAGAAAACGTTTGCGGTCGACAGCTTGGCACTTGAGCGCCCTCACGCGAAGGCGTTTAAACGCGACAACTTCCGAGCATGCCGGTTTTATGGCGAGTTTTCGTGGATCATGATACGCGGTTGCGTTGAATACGAGGTTTGTCGTTGACTTTCTTCGAATATCTATATGTTCGTTGGCCGCCATTTTAATTTGAATAGACACCAAGTTTCGGACATTTATCGCTCGAATATTTATGGTTATGTTATACAGTTATATTTTACGGTATTTGTGTATATTTGTGTATACTTTTATTTTAGCTAAATTATCGGATTTATCGGATGAATTTGAGAATTGTTCAATGTGCGACACGAATTTATTTATATTAAAAGATTGTTAAATATGGCTTTAGAAATCGAACGATGTTCACGGTTGGCGAGAAATGGACAAAGTAGACGCGACACGTTTGTCTAGTATTTGCGAAGCAAAGTTTAAAAATGATGACTATGAGTGTAACTGAACCGAAGCAGACTGAAGTGTGTTTATACGTGGTTAGAGTATATTCAGTGTAGTGTCGGACAAATGTGCGAACTCAATATGAAGTATTTTTAGCGCAGCTTGCTTCGAAAGATTTGGTTACCAACTATTCGACTCGTGATTTCGAGATACATTCGTTTTACCTCGATTCGCAGGTGTTTTACGCAGTCAGATCTATCTTATTCAGAATTTCTTTTTTTACTAACATCTTCTACCTAATAATTTATTGATATCAAGTGTGAATAGTGAATATTACAAATTATAAACTTTTTTTTTTCAAATTTTACAATATTATGTTAAATAAAATAATCAACGATCCATAATTTGATAGAAATTCATTTCTAAAAAAATTTCCAAACCTAACCTACAAATCACTCGCCATTTATTCCACAATATAAACAAACGATTTTGATTAAACTTACATAAAACGATCCTTAAATCCTATGTCTTAATATCTTTCAAAAACAAATAGATATATAAAATCGAATAATCATTTAAACAGAGGTAGATTTCGCGTTTTCCCTTGTTATCTCTACCCGTTCGAACAAATAAACAATTATTCTCAAACATCCGAACTTCGTCTGACTGGTTGCAATTCTCCGGAACTGTTCGTATATTCCGCTTCAGCGGCATTCCGCGAGAAACATACGATAATCTCTAGACTAGAAACAGAGACTACTCACCTTGTTATGCGGCAACTGTGTGGGCACGTACAACGGTGGATCCAATCCGGGACTCGTCACCGCGTGACGTCCGATAATCCTGTCCGCCGGTTTCGCGTCGTATCCTTCCGGCTGCCCGATGTGGAACCCCTTGCTCTTCACCCAAAATCGAAATTTACTGTTCTCCGCACTGTTCACTTCCTCACCTCTCAATGTTCGCAATATACGCGCGTACTTTTTAATCGTGATCGTCTTAGTCTTCGCCAAATCACCGTACGTTTTGATCACCCACGGTTGATACGCGTTGAACATACTATCGTTTTGAAACTTCTTCGGCAGATTCGCGTTCTCCGGTTGTCCCTTTTGCATCCCGTAACCGGTCCCGTTTACACCAGCCGCGATTCCAGAGAACGGCATGGGCACGCCGTTCTTCGAGTCCATCGCGTTACCACCGTTTCCATTCCCGACGTAGGCATTGTTCAATCCGGAAGCGGCCGAGCTCAACGAACCACCGGTCATATTCGAAATGTCCAGATACGAAACGGACGAGCTCTTGCCTAGGTTCGTCGCGTTTCCCACGAACGTGGCCATAGACGAAGACATATAGGGTATCGGGGTAGGCATGCTGAGACTACCAGCGCATAGACCGGCGGTTGGACTCGAGGTCATGCTCAATCCAGCCACGGAAGCGTACGTAGACACATCGGACATGTTCGTGGTTTGCCAACTACTGGATAGCACACTGTTATTGGACACAGCATCCGACGTGGATACCGATGTCGTGGACGTTTTCGTTTGCGCGTTTCCGGATCTCGACACAGAACCACCACGATTTTTTGACGAGGGACTCGTCTCAGGTGACGAGGACGCGTTCGAAGAAGACGAAGATGTCGCTTTAGTCGCGTTCGTCGATGTACCACGTGACTTCTTGGTAGGTGGCTCGTCTCGTGCACTCGCGTTCATCGAGTTCAGATTACCGTGGGACGGGCTGTTGTTGTTCTCGGACCTTGAACGTTTGCTGGACGAGCCAGTGGCCGACGCGGATTGTCCCGACGGGGTCGGGGAATTGTTCACTGGCACTCTGCGACGGAGTCCCATTGTCGCGCTGGCCATTATTCCTCGGGTATATTTAGTGCCGACCGCTAGCCGGTTTCCCTGCTGACGATCGATTTCACACTGTCACTAGTTCACCGGCCGCGTCGTCGTCGATCACCGAAACCGTCAGCCGCCAGCATTATCGTTCGTACGCGGGTACACGCGCCGACAGACGGACACGCAGACACGTACACGCGGCCGCGCGCGCACAGATGGGACGAAATACACGAGACGACCGATACCACACCGAGCGAGGGTTGTCGGTTGTGTGTGCTTGTCGGACTGGGCTGTTGTATATCGACGTCCACGATGTCCAGTGGCGACGGTCCAGTCGTTCTCGTGTCGGGATGATGCCGCGTCCGGAAAATCGGGACCCAGTCGCTCGCGTACGAGTTGCCTCGGCTGAAAAAGAAAAAGAGCAATGGAACGTGTGACAAGTGGAATTAGCTATGCACTATTAACCGACGGAAACGGTTTAAATGAGGCCGGCTCCGCTAATGGACTGGCCAAGTATGTAGGTGGAAACCTATCGGTGGACAGGGTAATAACGCGATGCTGAAATTTAAATATTAGAAATCGATCTTGCTTGCCTCCTTTCCCTCTGTCGAGAAAAATTTCTTCATCATTTTTGGATCGAGAATCGTAATATTTGAGATTCTGTATTAAATGATATGCAGTATTATGAACAGTTTTTGATAGTAGTTTCGACATTTGAGAGTAGATTATGAATTAGGTTATATGTAGATTAAAAATGATACCTGTCAAAATTTTGCCTTGATTAACAATTCTAATTGGATTTATGCTGAGATTTTTTTTTTACAATTATTTCGTTTAATTTACATATTGTTTATAAAATGTATATGTACTCGTAGCTCAACTCTCGTACAATATCAACTGCCGTGCAATTCCACTGTAGCGAAAGAGTTAATATTGTATTAAAAACAAAATTGCATTAATATTGTGTTAATATTAAAATATGTTTATAGTTATTTTACAATAAAAGTTAATGGATTCCTCTGTTGATTATATGAAAATAATTTAAGATTATTTAGCTTAAAAAAAAAGTATGTGGTCAGGATCTAAAGTCTTTATACTATAACTGACTATACTAATAATAAACTATAACTGATATAATGATATTATAATAATAGAAAATCAAACGTAATAAAAAAAAAAGCTTGTCTAAAATATAAAATATTACGACGTGTACGAAAATATCCATATAATCGAATCGTTCGATTTTCAGAACTTAAGAAATAATAATGTCGCGTAAAAAAATATTTCCCAAAAACGTATGTTATATTATATGTCTCTAAATACATTTGTATAAACGACATAACAATTGAAAATTAACATCACACGGCCCTGAAATTCGAGTTTTTTTATCTTTCCTTATGTATATTTCATATATTGCTGTTTCAAAATACAATTTTTAACCATGAAACCGATTTTACAATTTCGCAATTCCCATTAAAGTATATAAATTCTTTCTTCAATCGTAAATAGAAAAATGAAATAATGATAATAATTAATATCAATTTCAATAATAGAAAATGTCGTATTAATGAGGTTAGAGAGACTTGTCAGCACGTCAGAATCCTTATCTCGTTCGAGAAGACTGTCAAAGGATTGGTGTCCGTCAGGATTAACTCCGGTGAAAGAAAGCATTATGAACGCGAAACGCATTTCCGTCTATCATCGTAACGCGTCTCTACAACCTTTAACAGTGTTTCCTAGTTAACGGTAAAAACTTCCTTCCATTAAAGATATTATTCCTTTCTTCCTAACCTCAAAAAAAGAGAATACCGTAAAAAGACGAGAGCACCATCAAAACTTCATCGTTACTTTCGAGTCAAAAATTGAAAATAAGAGGAAAAAAAGAACACTTGTCGATGTTTTTTTAAACGTTCCAACGTTTAACGAGATCGAACGATATAGAAACGAAAGATTCTTCGCCACGGTGTAACGAGCCATGTTTCCGTCACATGTAAAACGACGTTCGTCCTCGAGAGGATTGCAAAGGCTCGAAAACACTGGGAAAAGGAGCAAAGGTGGAGGGGGAAGGGGGGGATTGTAATGGTGGGTCGTCGGTTGTCGTTCAGCCACGAAGCTACAAATTCGCACGTCACCCGACTATTCGGGCTCGTGCATGCGCGTCGCTAATGGATTTTCGTAAGACAGGTGTTAGAACGGCCGCGCGACATAAATGGTATGCAATTAGACACGAGCGCGACTCGGACGGTGGCGCGGCGAATTAGGAAACCGGTTATTTAACCAGCCACCGACTTCCTTCGCGTGTCGTGACCGCTTCCACTATGCTGACGAGTCGTTGGCAAAGTAGCGAAGCGTGCATTTTTTTTTTTTTTTTTTTTTTTATTTTCGAAAATTTTCGTAGAAGATATTGTTATATATTATCGAAACGAAGAAGAAAATTTTATCCAACGAAAGTTTAATTGAATAATATTTTATGATGAAACAAGCATTTTGTTCAAAAATCAATCGATCGTGTAAAAAATATATATATATATATATTTATATATATCATAATTTGAAGTCACGGAATCGTGTTTGTTAATTATAATCGTGTCTGTAAACCACTGTCACGTAGTCGAACGAGAGAAAAGAAAGAGAGAAAGTGGGAAAGCGGTTCACGAAAATGGAGAGGCGAACTTTTAGCATTCCCTCGTCGCTCCTCACCCTTCACCATTACGTCCCATGATTCTATACGCCCTATCTCAGATCAAACTAACCTCCGCGACGCGACGGTCTGTTATGATCGAATCGAGACGAAATTTCTCTTCGATGGAACCATCGAACGAATTTCAAGTTAAATTTTGTTTAATTGTGTTTTTGAAATAGAAAAATATGAAAAAATAAAAGAAAAATTTTTTGTTTAATCTAGCAATATTCATGTAGGAGATCTATTTAATCTCTTGTCGTTGTCGCTTAATCAAATTAATATCTAAATAAATTTTATTTATACGTTGAATAATTACACTTTACTAAAAACAATATGAACATCCGTATGCTTATGCTCTTAGAAATTCACGTGTTCACTGCTAGAACGAAAACGTATCGAGATTAGGATTGAAGATTCTTCCCGATTAACCTGATATCGTATAATTGAACCAGATTTTGTTTTCGTAATTATCGCGAACGATACGACAACCGTAACGAATGCAAGTATATAGAGAGATAGGCCGTGTCGGATAATCGCGAAGCAAACTCGACGCTAATTCAATAAGGCCGATCGCGGACCATACGTCGCGATAGCCTGGATCGTATAATGAACTCGCGGCGATGTATCCACGCTCCTTTAGATAACAAGTGAAACGGAAAGAGAAAGGAGAGAAAGAGAAATATATATATAGGGAATTCCCGTTGACATGTTTAAAATTAGTCTATCAAGAAAGCTGAGTTCACATGAATAATTTTCTCATATTTTTTTCGAGAATTTGAAAATTTGAAAGAATCATTGCATAAGAATTTACGAACATAACATTATCGAAAAAACTTATGGAAAATAAGTATAAATAGATCTAACGATATCTTGTCGATACCATTGATCTATTTCGAAAATATCGTTAAGATATTAATTTAAAAAAAAAAAGCAATTAAGATTATTTTAACTGGACATAATTTCTACATGGAAGTCTTGATTTTTTTTACACTTACGCGATATCGTGTCGTGAAAAATGTGTATTACTTTTTATTTCTAACAATTTGAATCAATTTATATTTTTTTCAATATCTGATTCGTTAGATCTTTTCCCAAGATTTTTAGCAAATATTGGTACACATGTCGTGACGTTCAACACTTGAGTCACGATCCTTATTAACGTAACTCGTTAAATATCAAAGTCTATCGATTTTTTTTTTCTCGTTAAGAGAGTAAGCATTGGCCGGCAACAAACGGTTGAAAGTTTGTCTTCTGGGAATTTCGATAACTATTTTGGGATGGAGATTACGCGAGCCATCGACTATTTTCGGCCTCCCTGTACGATATTACACAAGTGTAGTAGTTTCACTTTTCACTTCTGACACGTTCTAATTACTCACGCTTGATAATGAAATAACATCGAGTTATCGTTAAAAAATAAAAAAAAAAAGTCAAAACTTAAATATCATTACATACAAAGAAACAAAATTCCAATTACCAATTCGGAATATCATAATTTCTATTTCCGCCAACCAGCTCAAAAACCAAATATATAATAAGCAACGGTTAAAAATTTCTCAGCGTATCGACAACGAAGTTTCATAAATATTAAAAATCCTTCTCAAATTTCACTTTCCACGACTCCGTTCCATCCGCTTTTCTATACCCCTTCTTCCTACACGTGTGTATTTTTTTTTTTTTCTTTCGATCACAATTTCTTTCCAAAAAACTTTCGCGAATATTACGAGCCACGAAGCCCATATACCCGATCGAGGACGGGAGGATCGTGTCGTGGAAATCGATCGTGAGGAATTATACGATCCACGGTGAAACGATAACGAAGAGTCCGAGAAGGGAACCGATGGAACGAGGCCGATAGCCTCGCCACGATATAACCGAGCTCCTTTAGGTGGCAGAAACGAGGTCTTTAGCGCGGCTGCGGCTTAAGGCGCGCTGCTTACTGTAAATTATCTTCGGCGTCATTATCAAAGATTGCACGCGCGACCAAGAATGAAAATCGAGGGAAAGAAAAAAACGGACGCCTATATTCGAAACATTACTTTTTGCTCTTTGCAAAGAAAAACTTCTCTGTCTTTTTCTTTCTCTCTTGTTGTTTTTATCCGAAATTTTTCATCAAGTTTTTTTTCTGTTATTTATATATAATATATTTATATATTTATATTATTTATATATTTATATTAATATATAAATTATAAGGTGGTGGCCGAAATTTGGCGGAGAACAAGTATACAATTTTAGCCTTAGTGTTTAGATTTTAAAATTATCATTTTTCAACCATGGGTATTTGTAACTTGATAATATAATTGGTTTGGTGGAAGTGAATTAATTAGTCGAGGGGCTAATTAATCATCGAGAAAGGTCGGTAATCTCGTGTTGGAAGAACGAAACGTGTAGCGGAGTTGGAATTGGAAGATTCTTTTGTTTTCGAGAGAGTAAATGTTTCGTTGGGAAAAATATTTTTTTCGTTATTTCATACTGGAACTAAATAGCTCGTGTTTGAAGAATGATACAGGTGTGTATACCGTTGTATACATTTGGAGAATTTGTGAAATCGGTGAATTTCCTTCACAATGGCGTTTTTTTATTTTTAAGGAATCGGTAGACCATATTGTTTTATATCCGGCTGTGTCAATGTTAAAACTGCGGTTTTGTAAAGTTTTTGCTCGTCCGAATATATATAAAGAAACAAGAATAAGAAAATAAAAAAAAAAAAAGAAAAGGA